AGACAAATCAAGTGAAAACAAAGTTCCAGGTAGGATGAAGCAAATTCAGACAAAGTAAACTTTGTAAGCATCAGTCTGGAGGTCTCAACTAAGTCATTACACAGCCTGTGACTAACAATGTCAACCATATATTTACTGAGCTACAGAGCTGGAAGTCTTAGTTCACAAACAGAAATCACAAATCACACCAGGTATTGTTCAAGATAAAATCTGTTTTAAAGTAAACAAGGGGCATAGAAAGCCTGAATAGTCAGGAGTCACTGAACAGAAGGACACATAGACAAGCAGGAGTACCCCAACTGACAGAGCCAAGCTGCTGGAGGACACCTCTGCACTCTGAAGGCTTGCTATGATGATCTATTTTGTTTTTATATCTGCCATATTTTGATTAGATTGTAAAAATGATTTAAATTGATTCCGTTCTTGGATTTGCAAATAAAATGTGTACTTTTCATGCCCAGGGCAAGATTTTTAATGCAAAACTCATTTTTTTTCAAACAAGGAAAAGAAAACATTGATCAATTATTATAATAGGCCTTTTTAGTAATTTTTCTAGGTCTTATCTATGCTTAATATCTCAAGAAGATTTATCAGTGCCTCTCTAAAATCTACAAAAAGGAGAAGATTTAGTCCTAATTTACTATTTTCCAATGAGGAAATTAGTATTCATTAGCTTTGGGATCTAGTTTTAAATACTTTGAATTCAAACATCTAGAGAACTGAACTAATCTCCATGTTCCACTTTATGTTTTTTCTCTGCCTTATTCTAAAGCTGGACTGCCTTATTTGTATTGCATTGTTCTGAAAGCTGTGAAAATCATAAATGACACCTTTTTCAAGCATTCTTATCAGTTGAATTTGTCATATTTGCCTTTGTAAGCAGAAACATAATCAGAAAAGTAGCTGGGAAAAGTCTCAGCTAATACTACAAAATTCCTAAAAGTATCCTTCCAAAAGTTGACTTATCTGCTCAGCTGAGGCCTGGTGAATGACTAATATGGAGAAAACAAAGAACACAGATGAAAAATTTTCATAGTGGCACAAAAGTTAAAATCTGGACTAGTTTAATGCCTTTTTCTTTTTTTCTTTTCTGTGTGTTTGGGGGCTGTCATTCACCTGTCTTTGATATCTAAATTCACTCTGTGAGTGATTTGAAACCTGCTCACACTTGTACACCTTCTAGTTCTCTTGTCTAATCTCCAAGGACTATTATGAGAAATGATTAATGCAGTGGGCAGTATTTAGTAGAATTGAAATTACTACTAATTAATTAATTACATGTCCAGATTAGGCATTTAAGTAAGGGGTAAATCCAAGCCTTTCAAGAGTCTATTTCCTTTATGAATGAAGAAAGGAGCAATTACTCTATGAAGAAAATCAGAAAATCATAGGGAGTAGAACTAAAATATGGCAGCTTTGAAGATTCCGAAAGGTCAGTCACACCAAAATCAGGAAAGAATTTCAGCATCCTGCTAAGACAAAGCTATAAAACATTTATGTAACCAGGGAACTTTACTAGGAGCATGATAAATTATGGTGTTTTGTCTGCCAAGGATTTTATTTTCTGAACTATTTACTGGGGGGATAGTGGGGGTGGGGGAGAAGGAGGAGTAGTTTCTTATTGTGTGTTCTTTTTTAGTGATTTTTTTTCTCTGTGCAGATTTCACACTGAGTTCCGGATAGACAGCTCTCAAATTCCATGTTTGCTTATCTTCAAAGAGGTTACAAAATGTACAACAGTCTGAATGCTGATTAAGGTGCTCCCTCTGCATGTCTGAGTTTAGCTATGACTTATCTATAACAGGCAAGCATTCAAAACTTGGATTTTAAATAATTATTATTTTTACAAAAAAGAAAAAAGAGAAAAAGAACTGGACTAAGTCTTGTAGATACAACTACCTACTGCTATTTTTGATATATTTTATAATCCATGTTGTAGTGTAAAACACACAAACTTTCTCTCTTTTCTTTTGGAAATACTCTTTTATTTCTTTGAATCTTGCTTCTGGAATGGTGTATTGGCTTTCTGTGTTCTGCAGTGTTTATTCTGTTATCAAAATCTCCAGACTATCTTATCTCTCATTCCTACCTCTTGACACCTTTATGTTTCCTTTCTTTTTATCTGCAGGGATTTTATAGTTTTTGATGATGGCACTAAGGTTATTTGATGTTTACCATATAACTTGGTTTTCAGATTGCATTTTCAAAGATTTTCAAATCTGGTTTTCAACGGTGCTTCAATGCTAAGGGAAAGCAAATAAAACTCATTTTGTATCTTATATTTATTTTCATGATAGCAAAATTCCACCAAGGGAAATTATTTTAAAACGTCTATATTCTAATGTCTAATTTTGTTGAAGTATTTTCTTCTTTCGGATAAGTGTTTTGCAATTTAAACAGTTTGTCTTTTCTTTATTTTGCTTTACTCTATACAGCAGCATGTTTTTCCTTTTCATTTTTCCTTAATGCAGGTTGAACTCTTTCTTTCCAGTATTGAATGAACAGGTTTTTTAATGTATTTCACAAGGCATGAAATAATGGGGAATATTTACAGGGGAAGCCTTCAAGCAGCCAGTAAAAACCATACAATCAGTAACAGAACAAAATACTGTGATGATAATGATGATGATGATGATGATGATGATGATGATTTAAGAGAATGAAAAGAAGACATTAATTAATTAATTAATAATAAATAAATAAATAAATAAATAAATAAATACATTAAAAACACACTTTAATATTAAAATACTCATTTTTATGCATTTGATAAACAAATTAAACTTTGGTATAATTTCTGTTTTTCTGGCACAATACTGAATTGAAAAATCTTTTCATTTTAGACAACTAGATGAAAGTTTGGCTTTCAATTTATAAAGTCTTACCTAATAGAAATGTAGCATTTGGAATAGAAAATTTCAAAGTCTTAATTACCGTAGCTGTCTTTTCTGACATGCAATTAAACATTTATCTTTTTATTTCTCTTCTGAGATAGAGTTAATTTTCTCCCCAGTACCTGGTATGGAGCTGTGTTTTGGATTTGTGTTGAAGACAGTATTGTTAACACGGGGACTTTTTCCATTATTGCTGAGCTAAGGCTTTTTCTGCTTCTCAGCCCCCCCAGCAGTGAGGGTGCTGGGGGTACAAAAGAAGCTGGAGGGGACACAGCCAGGATAGCCTTGGGTCTCTACTCATCCAAGAGACATTGCAGACCATACAGGCATTGTGCTCAGCACAGACAGCTGGGGAATGAGGAGGGAGGAGGCGCTTTTGGAGTGACGGTGTTTGTCTTTCAAGTCACCATATTGAGGCTGGAGCTCTACTTTCCTGAGCACCTCCTTGTCCACTGGAAGTGGTGGATGAATTTCCTGTTTTGCTTAGCTTACACATGCACCTTCTGGTTTCCCTATCAGACTGTCTCTACCTCAAATAATCCATTTTCTCATTTTTACTCTTCTGATTTTCCATCAGGGAACTAAGCTGCCAGCTGAAGTAAAACCACAACAATCTCTTTGTCTGCAAACAGAATATCATGACACTTCCCACTACACAGTACTGCTGTGATGATACATGGAATATTGTGGAAGATGAAGTACCCTGTTAGTTGAGGATAAAAAAATATATAGAAATGAAGATCATTGAAATTTTCTATATAATGAATTTTCTCTTTATTTATCAGGTTATGGTCTCTTCTCACTGGTGGGTCTTGAATGAATGTATTTTTGTTTTTAAGACTTTAATAACTTCCTAAAACACAACACTAGCATGTTCCTCAATAATTGAATAGCCTTAGGATTCAAAAATCACTTCAGGGCTGTGTAACTTATTACTTCTGACATACATAAGTAGCAAAATAAAAACTTTAGGCCCTATGTTGCTGTATAGGGTTTTCTTTTGTATATGCTCAAGAAGAGGAAGATTAATACTTAATCAATATCCATCTTACTCATTTACTCAATTGTTCAATCAGAAATCTAAGGAAGTATCTTTTCTAATTTTGAATATCTGAAACTGTTCACACAGAAATGAACTTTATTCTTAAAAAAATGAATCAATGTTGAGATATAAGTGTAAACTCAGCATAGAAAAACTCACACTGATGATAAAATTATGATCAGAAATACCGTGTTTAGGTTCCAAGATTTAAGCAATGGGTTTGTATATTGACAGCAATTACTGCCAGCAGTTTTGATCAACAAAAAATACTAAGTAAATTACAAAGTAAATAACCTTAGCATGGCAACTAAATTGTGTTCAGTTTAGAAAAGTACAATCATTGTATTGTAGCTCACCAGAAGCTTCCTATCTTCTATTCCCAGCACAGCATGATTTGCTGTTTTTAAACACCATGAAAATCTATACTGAAAATGGCACTGCTTCTTAACCAATTCACACAGTCTTTGATATTAAATTTATATACATTAATAAGAATAAATGTATCAATAAATCTTAATAGATTATCCATCTTAAAAAGCAAAGGAAAAAAATCTAAAAAAACAAAGAAAAATGTGATGACTCATTTGGATAAAGCAGCTCATTTTATTAATTCCATAATTTTACTGCAATGTATTGTAACAGAGAACTCTTTAAAGCTCAGAAAGGGTGTCTGTCTCAACAGATTTCTCTTTTTCAGTGATGAAGTAATCATAATTTTCTATTTCATCCCTTACTACTCATAAACAATCTAAATTATCTCTTAAAATCACTTGGATTCTCTATTTTAAACACTTTCTAAGGAAGCTTATTTATGGTTACTAAAAACATATTGTTTCCTTTTCTGAAGCCTTGTCTTGATTTCCCTGGTGACCACAGATAAGAAAGTATTTCCCTTCAGCTGTCAGTTTTTCCTATTGTGCTTTAGAGAGAGAAAGGCCTCCTGTATTGATCTTTGTTTTTTTAAATCTGCTATCTGTGTGTCTTTAAATTTCTGCTATGAGGTAATTTCTGAAGAGATAAAAATGGACTGAATCATAACTTTATTTTGAATACTGTGAGTTTAGCTTTTGCAAATTTTTTACTTCTTTTACAACTGTTCATCCAGGATATCCACATCCACGCCTAAATGTGTAAGTAGAAAGGACCTGCCCTGGGTTTGGAGTGATTTGCCTCTGGCACTGGAGTAAACTCCCTGAGATATGAGGAGACTGCTAGTGATAAAAGGAAAATAAATTAATTACAAGTGACAATGCTTTGCACCTCCTAATGAAGAACTGATAGAGATATCATATGAGTGAAGAATTAAGCAGGAGCACTGCTAAGAGGACTTCATGAGACACTACGGGCAATACATGCTACAAGACTAGAGAACTCCCCTCCCTTCTGCCTGTCCTGGAGGATTCCTTTGCTGAAGATTCAGCTTGTTCTAGCTTACATGCAAAGTTTCAGAGGAATTCTAGCACTTCTTTAATTAACTAACACCTCTGTGAACTAGAAAGATTAGGTTTTTCTGCCTCCTTCAAACCTGTTTTTCATGTCTGTGGTTTAGCTCACCTCTTGCTGTATTCTGTAACAGGGCGCTTCTCAAGAGGAGCTGGAAGTTAATTACATCTTCCAGCTTAAGTTAGAAGATCAGCCTCACTGTTGTGCTCCAGGACAAAGAGAAAATGTGAGTGATCCCTTATAAACTTACCTGTCCCTTGCATCTGTTGCTTAGAAAAAGAAAGCAAATAAATTTTACTAATAAATTGAATGCAGCAGTTTAATTTGTTCTGTTGGTCCTACTTCTATAAGAAAGACATAATTTATATGTATATCATAAGCAGACTCTTTTCTTACTACCCTCAAATAATAAAAAAATTAAAAATCCCTTCAATTTTCAATGTAAACAGTTTGAAATTGAAATGAAAAAAAATAAATATAAGAAAATGTGCAACAAGGTTTGCTGACATATGTGTGTGTTATATCCTTATTCCCAAACTGATCAACTCAGGCTTTAAATGGCAAGTACATTTGATCCAGGCCCATAAATATGGGCTTTGCAAGTGATCTAGAAATCTGTGCTATTTAATAATGGCACAAAGGTATCATCCTGTGATGGTAGAAAAATAGAATGATAAATCTTATGCCAAATATGCCAGAAAAACTAATATTTTTCAGCATCTTATTGAAAATCTTATAAAATTCAGTGTAATTTATCCTTCTAATATTTTGAAACTTTTTTAATTTCCATGTTCCCCTACTTCAACCTATTCAAAGGCATAAATTCTCCTCATTTACAGCTTGAACTGTAATTTTGCTTTTTTTTCTGTCATTTTAGGAAAAGAAACTACAATGCTCTCTGTCCTCTAATCGTACAAAGAGATTGCTTACCTAATAAGACACATGAACAAGTTTCAAACCTGGTCATAAGACCTTTGTTTTTCTTTCCATGTCCTCTCTCTTCTGTATTCATCAGATCAGAGCATTTAACTATGAAAACACTTCTATTTCTTGAGTTATCTGCTGTGACAGATAGCCCAGTCATATAAGTTATGTCACGAACAAACTGAAGTTTATTATTAAATTGAAGTTTATCATTAAAGTAATTTTTGCATTCCCTTCATCTTTCCTTGCTTCCTTCTGATTTATATTCTTTCACTACATCACTGTCACTGAGATACTTTTGGAATATTTTCACTAATATTTAATTCCAAGGGTAAATAGTAATCATAATAAGAAATTAATAAAAACAATGTATTTGATAGCAAATTTTTAATAATATTTTTCTTCTACCAGCGTTTTCCATTTATTGCTAGTGTTTATTTCCCAGATGATTACAGTCCTTCATCTTCCTTCTTCTTTGCCCTTTTTTGCTTGCCAAATTGCATTTTTTGTCCTTCTCACCCTCCTCTCCTTGTGGCTCTGATGCATACAAATTCATTCTTCAAGATTAAATGAATCTGATTAATAACTGAACAGGGCTTCAGGAAATATAATTCAGATAAAACCAACAGGAATCTACCTCTAATATGGTTCATTCACCATGAATTGTCAACAATATCCAGCAGAGATAAATCTGAATGGCACAGCCCTTAAGGGTGGGGCTGGGATTTTCGGTTTTTTAGCTTCTGAGAGGAACAAAGAATCATTGAAAAAATTATGTTCTCCTTGTTATCCTTTATGGGATAAAATTATATAAAGTGGAACAGTGAATCAATTCTATGAGGCAGCAGAATAAAGCCAAACTATTGGTTATGGAATTTGCTTTGGAATCTTCCACCAAGCCCTTATTAAATCACCAGTAACTGCAAGAGATAAACATTCAGTATTTCCTCTCAGTCTTAGGTCAATAAAAGTTAGTTATCTGTTTTAATTCATGCGTCCTCTGTCCATGGAGACAAAATAATCAAAAGCATTAGGAAAATTTGAAATGTTTCATTTTTCTATGAAATAAAACTTTTGAATTTTCTATGAAATGAAATTTTTTGAATTTTTAAGATTCTACCATCCATTTTTTAATAAGTCTCATTCTTCACAGCTCTTTTTCAGAGTAAACCCTACATTATTTCCTTTTTCCTGTGATTCTGGAGGAGTCCTTTTCAAGCTTTCCCCTTCATTTGGGTGGAGCATGATAAGGTAATGCATTATTTAAAATAAATAGATAGATGTCTTATCCTACTTGAGGACTACTAGTGCTATTCCCTTTTAATACTAATGTTTACTATTTCAAGTGCTGCTGAGTCAGTAAAGTGAAAGACTCGCAGACTTTTTCACATTATCTTTTAATTTTGTTTGCCTTGGGTGTATTTACTTGAATGTGTTTATTAAATGAAAACCCAACAACCCCCTGAGATTCAGAGTAATTTATGTGTCAAATGTCAGCTGACTGAACAGTTTCTGAACAAATGGAAGACAGGCCAGTGCCATAATCCTTAATACGTGGCATTTACTGGCACCAACCAGTATGGCACTTCAGTATGAAACTTTGAATTAATAGCTATTACTTAGCCCATGTGATGCTTACAGCATAGAGTCTTCTGTTGGAAGATTGAAATATCAAGGGAAAAAAGCAGTCAACTGCCTGCCACAAAGGGCTGAACCTTTTACAGTCAGGGCATGGTTTGTCATGGTTTCTTTGCCAAGTTCATTGCTGTCGTTCACAGCTTCCCTGCCCCAGTTGTTTCCTCTGATAATGTTATCTGTGGAGGGGGTCAGGGAAAAAAAATAATTTTTGCTTCACTTTTTTCTTTCTCTCCAAATTATTTTTATGCAGATCAGTTCCTTCACCTGGCATTTCTGGAGGTCCCCAAAATTCCTACCAACCCAGCTGGTATGACAAAGGGAAGGCCATGTGCAAGATTTGGAGGCTCCATGGCACTAGAAATACAGCCAGGAGAAATACATGTCAAGTCGCAGCCTTATCTGTAACCAAGGTAGGAAAAGTAGCTATAAATAATAAATAAAATAAAATAAAATAAAATAAAATAAAATAAAATAAAATAAAATAAAATAAAATAAAATAAAATAAAATAAAATAATAATAACAAAGTAATAAATTTCTGAGTTGCTTCAATTAACCCACTACCTTTGAAAAATGAGCTTTGCACGTAAGATGTACAGGGGAAAAAATAAATTTGTACTCATTTTATGCATTGTTCCTTTAACTTGTTCACCAAGCTAAAAAAAGAAATCCTAAAATCTGCAGAAATTAATCTTTTTTTTTTACACCTTTTGAAGTGACAAATGTTCCTGAAACTAAAACTTAGAAAGTTGCTGTGATTTAATTGCCCTTAAACTTAGGAACTTGACTTTAATGATACTTTTTTTGAAAATTATAACTTGTGTCTTAAAAATTTGCATTATCATTTGTTATCATTTGTTGATTTAGTCCTCTTTTCTAACTTTTCAATAGAAAAGTACAGTACCCTATGGAGTAGTCTGGACATATGAGCTCTGATTGTAATGAGAATTAGAAGGATGATTTTATATATATTTCACATTTTGGAAGATTGCAAGCCATAATATACATCAATAAAATTTGATGCAATTGCTCTTTTAAAACTAGAATCCCAGAATTCTAAGTTTATTGTGTGCTTTTGTCAAGGAAGTTTGCTTAACGAAATAAAAGTTGTTAAACTAAAATTCAACCTGACAGAAAAAGTAGTTAGCCTCAAGTGCTCAGTGGTATAGAGCAGATCCACATCTTTATTTTACATAACATAATTTTGAATTAAAATTTAGCACAATGTGCTAAAAGTTGTTAAAGTTAACAATATTTTATGCAATAAACAATCAATCCTTTATTTGAGTGCCAGTTTTTTGTCAAGAGACATTTTACTTCTAATTTTGCAAAATATTGAAAAAAATATTCCCATCACCTGGTTGCCCCTTATTACAGTATCATTCAGTTAGAAGGTATAAAAAAAATACCTGTATGGAAGATGTGTGCATGGGTTATGAAGTAACAAATAAAAAACCGTAACATCTTAAACTTTAAAAATATATAATATTAATATTGACTACCAATTATAGTATAATAATATAATATTGACTGTCATGTGTGATATAAACAAATCTATACTTAGAGAGCAGAAGAATAGATGTTTCAATTTGGAACTGGTTTTCACTTGATCTGACATTAAAGGAAAGCTAAAAAATTCATGGGAGAAGTATATCATCATATACATATATGATGTTAAAATGTACAGTGAAATAAATTTTTTGAAGAGAAATACTGCCTCCTTGAAAAAAAGATATTGGTATAAAAAAGATATTGGTATAACTACATGAAACTTTTGTCTGCATCATTACAACATCAAGGATAAGATTAATCTTCTCATTTCAGGAGTGAATTTTCACTATTTGTGATCTAGTCTGCAAAAATTTTTGTAATGAGGTCTCAAACTACTTTTTTTTTGCCATGTTGAATGCCATGAAATAATGTTATGAATATGCCAGATTTTGCTGCATAATGAAATTATGCTGTTCCAAGTCAAACAGAAGGTAGCTTGGATGTCTCCCTGTGAAAATCCTTCAGTTCCTATATCTTTAAATTTTTGGCCCCAGATCTATGGTTCACCAATACTTTAATTGGAATATATCAAAGAAAAAAAAAGTGGGAGTAGAATATTGTCAAAGTTAAGAAGTGTTTGTTTTATAGATTTTGAGTTCCTGTAACCTGATGATATCTTTGTGTTATTGCAAGCTGGAGAAGTGGATCCATGTGAACCACGAGGGTCAACAGGGCCAAGTCCAAGGTGGTGCTCCTGTGTCAGGGCATCTCCAGGTATCAACAAGGATGGAGAGCAGCCCTGCTGAGCAGGACTGGGGAGTGCTGCTGGATGCAAGGCTGGACATGAGCTGGCAGCACTCTCAGGCCAGAAAGCCATACATGCCCTGGGCTGCATCCAAAGCTGAGTGAGCAGCAGGGCCAGGGAGGGGATTCTGCCCCTTCCACTCTGCTGTGCTGAGACCCCACCTGGAATGCTGCACCCAGCTCTGGACTCGTCAGTGCTGGAAAGAATGGATCTGTTGGAATGGGTGCAGAGGGGTCCCATGAAGGGGATTCTGATCAGCTGTCCTGTGAGGAAAGGTTGAGACAGCTGAGGCTCTTCAGCCTCAAGAAAAGGGGAAAGAAGGGGAGGGGGAGACCATATTTTATCTTTTCAGTACTTAAAGGGGGGTTATATAAGAAAGACGGGGACAGAGTTTTTAGTAGGGCCTGTTGCCATAAGACAAGGGATAATGGTTTTCAACTGAAAGAGAGTAGATTCAGATTAGATAGAAGGAAGAAATTTTTTTTATTATAGGTACAGTAAAACGCCAGAAGAGTTTGCCCAGGGACGTGTCAAATGGCCATCCTTGGCAACATTCAGTATCAGGGTAGATGTGTCTCTGAGCAATCTGATCTAGTGGGAGATGTTCCTTGTTATTGTAGGGGCATTGGATTAAATGACCATCAAAGGTCTTCTCCAACTCAGACTACTCTATGATTTAAATTATTCAAGATCCAAAGCCTTAAAGTGCTTTCAGGACCTCTAGAGTACTCTGCCACAAAGCAAACCTAAGAAATTTGGGCTATGAGATCTGAGCTAATTTAATGGATGTAGTGAGGTACCTGCATGCAGGGTGAAAGTCTTTTAGCTGTTTCTTGAAGGAAATTATTCAAAGGCTCTATTCCATTGCTGGCCAGGATTTGATAATTTTTAGATGTTATATACTTGAAGGCTCAGGTAGTGTCCCCAGTTTCAAAGCCTCTGCTAACATCTTACATTTGTCATTTTCAGCATTTCATTTTTATTGTAAGATTATACAAAAAACACCTACTTTCTGTGAAGATCTACTTGTTACAGAAATTTATAAAAAATATTATAACAGGACGTGTAATAATAGCAAAAAATTCAGCTAGAGCTAGATTGAGTTAGGTAGCATTCAACCTAGTTGCAATGAAACAAGAAAGTTTTATGTCTAGGCAGGCCAAGATCAATCTGGGCATATTTTATTCCAGAGGCCCTGAAGTGTTAGACACTGTGTACAGCAATACTATATTTTCAGGGCTACATTAGCTCTAAATGGTTTATAATTCATCTACCTGAGTAAATAGGAGGTATTTTGTGCAGAAGACTCTAAAACAGTCTGGAAGAACTAAAGATTTCCTGATTTTTAGTCAGGATTCCTTTAGGTGTTTTCAGCCAAATCAAATTACAGTGAATCCAACAGTCCTTATTGGATGCATATACTATATGATATTGTCAGGTGTAGTGCAAAGAAAGAAGGTTAAACACTTGATTTAATGTTGTCTTCTTGTCTGCTGTGGTTCCAGGACCACCATGTAGTTATCAGCAACAAATTTTGCACAAAGTCCTTGTCCTAGCACAAGCCATGCACACATGGAAGGAGCAGCTGTAAATCCTTGCATCCATGGGACAGGTGAGGTGCTTTAAGTGACTCCCTGCTCTGTGGCTTCAGTGCTGGTTCCACTGGCAGTGAAGCTGTTCTGAGCATATCAGCGGTGCCCTCGGGTGCATGGTGCAAGACTGTGAGCATGGATACAAGCAAACTGCCACCAGACACCCCTCTCTAACACACCAGATGTATAATGTACCCATCCAGGCTTCTGGATTTTGTGTTCCGCCATTATTTCCCAGAATAGAATGGTTTCTGCTTTTTTTGGTTTTTATGATGTGAAAAAACCCAGAATTTTCAGAAAAGCTTTTTTCCTGTAAAAGGATCAATACTGGTCCAATGCTATTCAAAATCCTTTTAAAATATCTGGAATACTGTGTGGCTCCTGAAAAAGACTGCAGGCTGCATTGGATTGGAAGGAGAGGCAGATACACTGCAAAGACAAGCCACCGCATGGAGACACTGAAGTGGGCTGGAAGATTGGGATAGAAATAATTTCATGAGGTTTAACAATGGTAAATGGAAAGTGCTGCACAGGAGAATAGGCCCCAATGGAAATACAGGTTGAGGTATAGCTCTGCTGAAGTGCCTCTGTCGACAGGAAAATGAACATTGATTAGTAGTGTGGAAGGGCAGCAAGGAAGGAAAACCTGTGCTGCATCTGTAGGATAAAATCCAGCAGGTAAAGGTGTGTGGTCAGTCTACTCCACTTGGAACATCATAGGCAACATCTGGAAAAATGTGTCTAGCTCAAATGTTCCCTCAGTTCAAATAAAGAGAAAAACTGTAATATTGAAAAGGGCCCAGTGGGGCTACCACTGATGATTAAAGGACTGGAGAATTTGTTGCATAAAAATACTGAAGAAATTGGCTTCATTCATTATGAGAGGAGGTTGTTGACAGACATGTGTGAGTCTAATCACTGTCTTCCAACACCTAGAACATCATTACTGCAAAGATGGGTGTATTTCCTTTGCAGGAATATATGGTGGAAGGACTACATGCATGAGTTTCTTCAGGGGGAAATCCCATTTGGATATCAGAAACATAATCATGTCTGTGGGAATAACAGAATCTTGCAATAAATTGCCCAGAGGAGCAGTTCCATTTCTTTGCTGAGAAATATTCAAGGCAGTTTTAACATAGCCATGAATAGTCTAATTTAATGCCTCCTTTCAACAGAAAGGTGAACATCTGATCCCAGAGCTCCCTCCTAACCTGGACTTTTCTATGATTATGTCATTTTTCTATGAAATTTCTTGTATCTACATTCCAGCTGAAGGTGATTTGAAATACAGGGTCTAAAGGAACATTGGTATTAGAGCTGTATGAATGCAAGAAGCTTTAAAGGCTCAAAGAAAGAAGACTGACAGAAGGGATAAAAAAAAGACACCCCTGGAAAAGAAGCCATCTAGAATCACTACATCCAAAGTCTACAGAGGTTAATAAGAGTCTTTTCTGTGACTACAATGGGCTTTGGTTGTCTCTTTAAGTGTTCTGGCTTATTCTATTATTTTTTTTT